GCGGGATAGTCTCGCCCGTCAGCTTGGCGCCCGCGTCGAGCTCGATGGCGGCGGTGGCGACGCAAGCGATTGCGCGGGCGGAATCGAGCCACCCCCCGCCCACTGGGCCTCGCCACCGCGGCCCCCGCGGGGCCTAGCCGCCGTCGGCGGCCCCGTCGCCGCCCACGCCTCGGCCGCCGGCCGCGGCCGCGGCCGCGGCCGTGGCCTCGGCAGCCGCCCCCCTCGTCGGAATGCCCCCCGCCGCCGCCGCGGCGGACGTGCCCGGTCTCCTCGTGCCACGGCCTCATCTGCTGCAGGCGCTGCGCCTCGTCGCGCTGCAGCCCCGAGACGAAGCTGCCGAACTCGGGGAGGAGAGCCTGGTCGTCCTCGCCGAGCAAGGCCGCGAAGATTCCCTCGAGGTTGTCGAAATCCGGGGCCTTCGGGCCGCGGCGGACGGCCGTCTCGATCTCGAACAGAAAGCGGCTCAGGTACTCGATGCCAGCAACGCTGGCGGGGTCGAGCTGGTCGGAGGAGCCGAACTGGGCGAGGGCCTCCGACATGCGGCGGTGGAAGCGGCAGACAACGCGGTGCATGTTCACCCCCGACTCGGCGCGCCAGTCGAGGTGGTGGCTGACGTAATCGTGGTTCGAGGCCATCAAGGCCCGCTGCAGCTCTGGCGCTGCTGCCTTGCCCTGGAAAGGCCAACCTGGCCGGGAACCCTCCTTCGAGCGTTTGGTGATCTCCTGGCAGGACATGTGGGGGAGGCCGCCGATCACCTCGTCGCCGATGAGACGTGGGTCGCGCCTAGGGCCGACGGCCTTCAAGCGTTTCCGCCCCTCGAGGTCGGTGTCCTCCGTTGGCTCGGCCGAGACCCACACTTCGTCGATGCACACGAGGGCCACCGACTCTTTGATGATCATGTTGTCGCGATCGCCGACGACGCCCTCGGGCAGCTCGTCGGAGAAGGCAACGTGGGCAGGGTCGGAGACGCGCCAGCGGCCTCCCACAGGGGCTGCGCCCGCCGCGCCCACGAGCCCGAAAACCTCCTGTCGCGGCGCGCGCGGCGCATGCGCACGAGGGTGTCGGGTTCGATCGGCACATCGAGGGCGCGGCACCGCCGAGGGATGGACTCGTCGCGACGGCGGGGGATGACCCTGTGTTCCGACAGGTCGGCGTACTGCTGCACATCGAAGTCGGGGGGGGCCAACAATCCATTTTCCCGGGGACGGGGTGGCGAACAAAAGGACACGGTGATGATACACGAGATTGTTGGGATCGTCCCAGAATCTGATCAGAACCTGCCGCTCAGGGATGTCCAGCGTTCTACCATCTGCCACAGGCTCTCAGGACGGACTGGGTACTCACCCTGGGCTCGGTCTCTTGGTCGGCCACGTCGGCGGCGGCTCGGTGGGCGTCAAGCTGCACGCGGGCTGCGGTCGGTGCGCCTCGAGACAGATAGGCAGCACGAGACGATGACGGTCAGCAGCGAACTGACCAAAAAACAGAAAAATGAAGAGCACCAGCAGCCAGACCCGCGAGCC